TACCTAACTGTTGCATATGTGTCTTACCTAACAACCTGTCGGTATTTTATACCATTTTAATGTTCATTCAGGTTAGGTAAAGTTTGTCAGGAAACAGTACAAGTGTTTCCTGACGCGGATCTTAGATGATGACCCGCCGTTGGATCTTTTGGTTATCTGACCGAGGCCTTCCCCTGGCTTACCGGTCCACCCCTTTAAAAATTATAACCAAAGGCAGAAATTAAAAAAAAAAATCAAAAGATAACAACAAAAGAAAATGTGATGTGACGCAAGTATAATCAAGATATTTTTCGATGTTGTTTCGCCACTGGTGGCCTTACCAATCACACGTCCACAACCAGTGAAGGAGAAACGTTGCCTTCACTGATTGTGGACGTGTCTTATCCTCACAGTCTCGATATTAGCACTAACTGTATTTGTACCAGCAAAACGATGAACACTCACACGACACAACAGATAGGGATGCAACCAGCTCAACACATTACAAACTGTGTAGATAAGACACTTGTGCAACATTTGGGAATCTTTATTCTAGAAACGTTTCGCCTGACATAGCTCCTGGAGAGCGAAACGTTGCCACAATAAAATATCACATTAGTTTGCATTTGTCTCCATTTACCTAACATTTGTCTGCATTTCTTTCCCTCACTTTCTTTCTTTTTCTCCTCCCTTTATCTCCGGTTATTTCTGCACCTTAATAAAAGACATGTGGAACAGTAAGGTATCTTTAGTCCGAAACGTTTCGCCTACACAGCAGATTTCTTCAAATGCAGAGGCAGCAGTTGTAGAAGTAAGACACTTGCAGCCTCTGTATTTGACTGAAGTCTACTGTGTAGGCGAAACATTTGAACAGTAAAGATACCAACTGTTGCACGTGTCTAAATTCCTCGGTCGAAAACAGAGGCAGCAGCAGCAGCAGCAGCAGCAGCAGGAGCTGTTGCAGCTGCTTCCCTGCACGTCCCAGCGAGGTGTTCCATCATCTCGTCCACAGACTTACCTTATAAATTCAGTGTCCCAGACCACCACGTTCAGGAAGGCTCTCAACTTTTTGAAGTTTACCACTGCTGAAGTCTTGTGGTGCACACTGCTGAAGTCTTGTGGTGCACACTGCTGAAGTCTTGTGGTGCACACTGCTGAAGTCTTGTGGTGCACACTGACTCCCTCCCGTTTACTGCACTTCCCTCTACCTTAACTTCCATCAGGCGCTTTAACTTCAACACTGCATGGTGACTAGCACTCTAGAGGACTCTCATTGTGCTCACACATTTGTGGTTACAGGGGTCGATTCACAGCTCCTGGGCCCTAAACAGTGTTATTATTGTTGTTGGTGGTGTTAATTTTGTTATTGTTGTTGTTATTGTTGGAGTGCGTACCGCAAGATGTTATTGTTGGAGTGCGTACCGCAAGATGTTATTGTTGGAGTGCGTACCGCAAGATGTTATTGTTGGAGTGCGTACCGCAAGATGTTATTGTTGGAGTGCGTACCGCAAGATGTTATTGTTGGAGTGCGTACCGCAAGATGTTATTGTTAGATGTGCGTACCGCAAGATGTTATTGTTGGAGTGCGTACCGCAAGATGTTATTGTTGGAGTGCGTACCGCAAGAAAGTTATTGTTGGAGTGCGTACCGCAAGATGTTATTGTTGGAGTGCGTACCGCAAGATGTTATTGTTGGAGTGCGTACCGCAAGATGTTATTGTTGGAGTGCGTACCGCAAGATGTTATTGTTGGAGTGCGTACCGCAAGATGTTATTGTTGGAGTGCGTACCCCAAGATGTTATTGTTGGAGTGCGTAACCCCAAGATGTTATTGTTGGAGTGCGTACCGCAAGATGTTATTGTTGGAGTGCGTACCGCAAGTGTTATTGTTGGAGTGCGTACCGCAAGATGTTATTGTTGGAGTGCGTACCGCAAGATGTTATTGTTGGAGTGCGTACCGCAAGATGTTATTGTTGGAGTGCGTACCGCAAGATGTTTATTGTTGGAGTGCGTACCGGCAAGATGTTATTGTTGGAGTGCGTACCGCAAGATGTTTTTGTTGGAGTGCGTACCGCAAGATGTTTTGTTGGAGTGCGTACCGCAAGATGTTATTGTTGGAGTGCGTACCGCAAGATGTTATTGTTGGAGTGCGTACCGCAAGATGTTATTGTTGGAGTGCGTACCCCAAGATGTTATTGTTGGAGTGCGTACCGCAAGATGTTATTGTTGGAGTGCGTACCGCAAGATGTTATTGTTGGAGTGCGTACCGCAAGATGTTATTGTTGGAGTGCGTACCGCAAGATGTTATTGTTGGAGTGCGTACCGCAAGATGTTATTGTTGGAGTGCGTACCGCAAGATGTTATTGTTGGAGTGCGTACCGCAAGATGTTATTGTTGGAGTGCGTACCGCAAGATGTTATTGTTGGAGTGCGTACCGCAAGATGTTATTGTTGGAGTGCGTACCGCAAGAGGTGTACAACCTATAATCATTTTCAACTGACACACTCAACTCATAACTGGCACACTCACCTGATAATTAACACACTCACCTGATAACACACTCACCTGATAACTGACACACTCACCTGATAACTGACACACTCACCTGATAACTGACATACTCATCTGATAACTAACACACTCGCCTGATAACACACTCACCTGATAACTAACACACTTGATAACTGACATACCTGATAACTGACACACTCACATGATAACTGATACGCTCACCTTATAACTAACACACTCACCTGATAACTGACACCACTCACCTGATAACTAACACACTCACATGATAACTGATACGCTCACCTTATAACTAACACACTCACCTGATAACTGACACACTCACCTGATAACTAACACACTCACATGATAACTGATACGCTCACCTTATAACTAACACACTCACCTGATAACTAACACACTCACCTGATAACTAACACACTCACATGATAACTGATACGCTCACCTTATAACTAACACACTCACCTGATAACTAACACATCACATGATAACTGACACACTCACCTGATAACTGACACACTCACCTGATAACTAACACACTCACATGATAACTGATACGCTCACCTTATAACTAACACACTCACCTGATAACTGACACACTCACCTGATAACTAACACACTCACATGATAACTGATACGCTCACCTTATAACTAACACCACTCACCTGATAACTAACACACTCACCTGATAACTAACACACTCACATGATAACTGATACGCTCACCTTATAACTAACACTCACCTGATAACTAACACACTCACATGATAACTGACACACTCACCTGATAACTGACACACCACCTGATAACTAACACACTCACATGATAACTGATACGCTCACCTTATAACTAACACACTCACCTGATAACTAACACACTCACATGATAACTGATACGCTCACCTTATAAACTAACACACTCACCTGATAACTAACACACTCACCTGATAACTGACACACTCACCTGATAACTAACACACTCACATGATAACTGATACGCTCACCTTATAACTAACACACTCACCTGATAACCAACACACCTGATAACTGCCACACTCACCTGATAACTAACACACTCACCTGATAACTAACACACCTGATAACTGGCACACTCACCTGATAACTAACACCACTCACCTGATAACTAACACACTCACCTGATAACTAACACACCTGATAACTGGCACACTCACCTGATAACTAACACACTCATCTGATAACCAACACACTCACCTGATAACTAACACACTCACCTGATAACTAACACACCTGATAACTGGCACACTCACCTGATAACTAACACACTCATCTGATAACCTAAAACACTCACCTGATAACTAACACACTCACCTGATAACTAACACACCTGATAACTGGCACACTCACCTGATAACTAACACACTCACCTGATAACTAACACACCTGATAACTGGCACACTCACCTGATAACCAACACACTCACCTGATAACTAACACACCTGATAACTGGCACACTCACCTGATAACTAACACACTCACCTGATAACTACACACACCTGATAACTGGCACACTCACCTGATAACTAACACACTCACCTGATAACCAACACACTCACCTGATAACTAACACACCTATAACTGGCACACTCACTGATAACCAACACACTCACCTGATAACTAACACACCTGATAACTGCACACTCACCTGATAACTAACACACTCATCTGATAACTAACACACTCACCTGATAAATGACACACTCACCTGATAACACACTCACCTGATAACACACTCATCTGATAACTGACACACTTACCTGATAACTAACACACTCACCTGATAACTGAAACACTCACCTGATAACTGACACACTCACCTGATAACTGGCACACTCACCTGATAACTGGCACACTCACCTGATAACTGGCACACTCACCTGATAACTGACACACTCACCTGATAACTGACACACTCACCTGATAACTGACACACTCACCTGATAACTGACACACTCACCTGATAACTGACCACACCTGATAACTGACACACTCACCTGATAACTGACACACTCACCTGATAACTGGCACACTCACCTGATAACTGGCACACTCACCTGATAACTGACACACTCACCTGATAACTGGCACACTCACCTGATAACTGACACACTCACCTGATAACTGGCACACTCACCTGATAACTGGCACACTCACCTGATAACTGACACACTCACCTGATAACTGACACACTCACCTGATAACTGACACACTCACCTGATAACTGACACACTCACCTGATAAATGACACACTTACCTGATAACTAACACGCTCACCTGATAACTAACACACTCACCTGATAACTGACACACTCACCTGATAACTGAACACACTCACCTGAAAAACTGACACACTCACCTGATAACTGACACACTCACCTGATAACTGACACACTCACCTGATAACTGACACACTCACCTGATAACTGACACACTCACCTGATAACTGACACACTCACCTGCTGTTGCTGTTTCAGAGGTTGACTGTCAGGAGTGTCAGTAGCAGTAGCGTCATCCACCAGACCTTCGTCAGCCAACAAGAGATCTGCAAAGAACAACAACTGCTATTAGTCAACCAGAAATGCAAACAACGACAACCTGGTCAACCAGAGTTGTAAACAAACATGACCTGGTCAACCAGACTTGTAAACAACGATGACCTGGTCAACCAGACTTGTAAACAACGATGACCTGGTCAACCAGACTTGTAAACAACGATGACCTGGTCAACCAGAGTTGTAAACAAACATGACCTGGTCAACCAGAGTTGTAAACAAACATGACCTGGTCAACCAGACTTGTAAACAACGATGACCTGGTCAACCAGACTTGTAAACAACGATGACCTGGTCAACCAGAGTTGCAAACAATAACAAAGACAAACACATTTATAAATAAACAATGAAAGTCACGTGACAAACAAGCCACGTGGCATAAACAAGGAAAGTCAGGTACTTATTGACAGGTGAACAGGGACAACAGTTACCTACTTACTGTTAGGTTCAGAGAGACAACCTACTTACTGTTGGGTTCAGAAAGGCAACAGGTACCTACTTACTATTAGGTTCAGAGACGAAAGGTACCTACTTACTGTTAGGTCCAGAGAGACAACAGGTACCTACTTACTGTTAGGCTCAGACAGACAACAGGTACCTATTTACTGTAAGGTGAGCAGGGACAACAGCGAGAGAGAAACGCTAGAAATACATTAAAGAATTATAGAGGTAATGTGTCATTATACCAGAGAGATAATGAGTCATTATACCAGAGAGGAAATGTGTCATTATACCAGAGAGGAAATGAATGTGTCATTATACCAGAGAGGAAATGTGTCATTATACCAGAGAGGAAATGTGTCATTATACCAGAGAGGAAATGAATGTGTCATTATACCAGAGAGGAAATGTGTCATTATACCAGAGAGGAAATGAATGTGTCATTATACCAGAGAGAAAATGAATGTGTCATTATACCAGAGAGAAAATGAATGTGTCATTATACCAGAGAGGAAATGAATGGGTCATTATACTAGAAAGGTAATGAACGGATCATTATACCAGAGAGGAAATGAATGTGTCATTATACCAGAGAGGAAATGAATGTGTCATTATGCCAGAGAGGAAATGAATGGGTCATTATACTAGAAAGGTAATGAACGGATCATTATACCAGAGAGGAAATGAATGTGTCATTATACCAGAGAGGAAATGAATGGGTCATTATACCAGAGAGGAAATGAATGGGTCATTATACCAGAGAGGAAATGAATGTGTCATTATGCCAGAGAGGAAATGAATGGGTCATTATACTAGAAAGGTAATGAACGGATCATTATACCAGAGAGGAAATGAATGTGTCATTATACCAGAGAGGAAATGAATGTGTCATTATGCCAGAGAGGAAATGAATGGGTCATTATACTAGAAAGGTAATGAACGGATCATTATACCAGAGAGGAAATGAATGTGTCATTATACCAGAGAGGAAATGAATGGGTCATTATACCAGAGAGGAAATGAATGGGTCATTATACTAGAGGAAATGAATGGGTCATTATGCCAGAGAGGAAATGAATGGGTCATTATACCAGAGAGGAAATGAATGGGTCATTATACCAGAGAGGAAATGAATGGGTCATTATACCAGAGAGGAAATGAATGGGTCATTATACTAGAGGAAATGAATGGGTCATTATGCCAGAGAGGAAATGAATGTGTCATTATGCCAGAGAGGAAATGAATGGGTCATTATACCAGAGAGGAAATGAATGGGTCATTATACCAGAGAGGAAATGAATGGGTCATTATACCAGAGAGGAAATGAATGGGTCATTATACTAGAGGAAATGAATGGGTCATTATGCCAGAGAGGAAATGAATGGGTCATTATACCAGAGAGGAAATGAATGGGTCATTATGCCAGAGAGGAAATGAATGTGTCATTATGCCAGAGAGGAAATGAATGTGTCATTATGCCAGAGAGGAAATGAATGGGTCATTATACTAGAGGAAATGAATGTGTCATTATGCCAGAGAGGAAATGAATGTGTCATTATGCCAGAGAGGAAATGAATGGGTCATTATACTAGAGGAAATGAATGTGTCATTATGCCAGAGAGGAAATGAACGGGTCATTATACCAGAGAGGAAATGAATGTGTCATTATGCCAGAGAGGAAATGAATGTGTCATTATACCAGAGAGGAAATGAATGGGTCATTATACCAGAGAGGAAATGAATGTGTCATTATACCAGAGAGGAAATGAATGGGTCATTATACCAGAGAGGAAATGAATGTGTCATTATGCCAGAGAGGAAATGAATGGGTCATTATACCAGAGAGGAAATGAATGTGTCATTATACCAGAGAGGAAATGAATGGGTCATTATGCCAGAGAGGAAATGAATGGGTCATTATACTAGAGGAAATGAATGGGTCATTCTACTAAAGAGGTAATGAATGTGTCATTATACTAGAGAGGAAATGAATGGGTCATTATACCAGAGAGGAAATGAATGGGTCATTATACCAGAGAGGAAATGAATGGGCCATTATACCAGAGAGGAAATGAATGGGCCATTATACCAGAGAGGAAATGAATGGGTCATTATACCAGAGAGGAAATGAATGGGTCATTATACCAGAGAGGAAATGAATGGGTCATTATACTAGAGAGGAAATGAATGGGTCATTATACTAGAGAGGAAATGAATGGGTCATTATACTAGAGAGGAAATGAATGGGTCATTATACCAGAGAGGAAATGAATGGGTCATTATACCAGAGAGGAAATGAATGGGTCATTATACTAGAGAGGAAATGAATGGGCCATTATACCAGAGAGGAAATGAATGGGTCATTATACCAGAGAGGAAATGAATGGGTCTTATACTAGAGAGGAATGAATGGGCCATTATACCAGAGAGGAAATGAATGGGTCATTATACCAGAGAGGAAATGAATGGGTCATTATACCAGAGAGGAAATGAATGGGTCATTATACCAGAGAGGAAATGAATGGGCCATTATACCAGAGAGGAAATGAATGGGCCATTATACCAGAGAGGAAATGAATGGGTCATTATACCAGAGAGGAAATGAATGGGTCATTATACCAGAGAGGAAATGAATGGGCCATTATACCAGAGAGGAAATGAATGTGTCATTATACCAGAGAGGAAATGTGTCATTATACCAGAGAGGAAATGAATGGGCCATTATACCAGAGAGGAAATGAATGTGTCATTATACCAGAGAGGAAATGAATGGGTCATTATACCAGAGAGGAAATGAATGGGTCATTATACCAGAGAGGAAATGAATGGGTCATTATACCAGAGAGGAAATGAATGGGTCATTATACTAGTGAGGTAATGTGTCATTATACTAGAGAGGAAATGAATGTGTCATTGTACTAGAGAAGAAATGAATGGTTCATTATACTAGACATGAAATAAATGGGTCATTATACTAGAGGAAATGAATGGGTCATTATACAAGAGAGGAAATGAGTCATTATAATAGAAAGGAAATGAATGGGTCATTATACTAGAGACATAATGAATGGGTTATTATACTAGAGATAATGAATGGGCCATTGTAGTACAGTGGTAATGAATGGGTCATTAAGCTAGAGATAATGAGCCATTATACTAGAGAGATAATGAATGGGTCATTATACTTGCGGAGAAAAAAATGTGGTCGGTAGTGGGAAGGGGAGGGGAGGGTAATGGGTGGTGTGGGCGGGAGTAGGGGTGGTTTAGGGGGGTGTCAGGAGGGTGGTGGGGGATGTCAGGAGGCAGGGGGTCAGGAGGCAGGGGGTCAGGAGGCAGGGAGTCAGGAGGCAGGGGGTCAGGAGGGAGGGGGTCAGGAGGCAGGGGTCAGGAGGCAGGGGGTCAGGAGGGAGGGGGTCAGGAGGCAGGGGGTCAGGAGGGAAGGGTCAGGGGTCAGGAAGGTGGGGGTCAGGGGGTCTGGAGGGAGGGGTCAGGGGGGGTAGTTTGTTTGGTCGACGTTGCCATGGTGAAAGCCGCAGATCACAACAACATTTCGCGAGAGTTTCCAAGGCGATTACGATTGTTATTACCCTGTTTATACTCTCTCTTTCTCTTTCTCTCTCTCTCTCTCTCTCTCTCTCTTCTTACACACACACACACACACACCATACACACAGGTTTGCAACAAGGTTAGTTCCGGAGCTCAGGGGAATGGTCCTACGAAGAAAGGTTGAGGGAAATCGGACTGACGACACTGGAGGACAGGAGGGTCAGGGGAGACATGATAACGACATACAAAATACTGCATGGAATAGATAAGGTGGCCAGAGACAGGATGTTCCAGAAATGGGACACAGAAACAAGGGGTCACAATTGGAAGCTGAAGACTCAGATAAGTCAATGGGATGTTAGGAAGTACTTCTAGTCATAGAGTCGTCAGGAAGTGGAATAGCCCAGCAAGTAATGTAGTGGAGGCAGGAACCATACATAGCTTTAAGACAAGGTATGACAAAGCTCAGGGAGCAGAGAGAGACTACCTAGTAGCGATCAATGAAGAGGCGGGGCCAGGAGCCGAGTCTCGACCCCTGCAACCACAATTAGGTGAGTATAATTAGGTGAGTACAATTAGGTGAGTAAACACACACACACACACACACACACACACACACACACACACACACACACACAGCGTCACAGGATGCCAAGCAAAGAACTGTCATGTGCAGAAGAATGGCAATGCTTGGTGACCTGGATGACAGTGCTTGGTGACCTGGATGACAGTGCTTGGTGACCTGGATGACAGTGCTTGGTGACCTGGATGACAGTGCTTGGTGACCAGGATGACAGTGCTTGGTGACCAGGATGACAGTGCTTGGTGACCTGGATGACAGTGCTTGGTGACCTGGATGACAGTGCTTGGTGACCTGGATGACAGTGCTTGACCTGGATGACAGTGCTTGGTGACCTGGATGACAGTGCTTGGTGACCTGGATGACAGTGCTTGGTGACCTGGATGACAGTGCTTGGTGACCTGGATGACATTGCTTGGTGA